TCAACAAACAAGTAAGAGATTTGAAATTATAAAGTTCATGGTTTACTTCTTGACCCTTATACAATATGAGCAATCCTCGTACAGATAATCCAACTAGACTAATCTTCTACTGCAAATTTTGAACAATTTTAGGTGACAACAATTCTTGGTGAGAACCCTAGAGCGACTTAGATAGACTCACCATTTATCATCTCTTTTGTTTAGATTTCCTTATTTGTACCTCTGTTGTCCATGATGGATGATCAGAAAGTTCACAAGCAGCTTTTAAAGAAGCCTTTCTCTCTTTGAAACCTGCAACTTCTCCTCCTCTTCCTCTTCTCTCTCTCTCACACACACACACACACATAGATCCCCCAAAGCCCCCGCCCCCCTCCATACAACACGTCACCACAATTGGCCCTCCCAACTCAACTGTCATCACCTTCACCACCACTCCAAACCCACCATTCCCAACCCCCTTCTCTTTCTCTATCTTAGGCCCCTGTTCTTTCTCCACAGCAAACCCCAAATCTAAAGGCTATATTACCTCTCTTTCTTTCTAGATCTGTAAAACCCACATGAATGGGTGAGTCACCAACTTTGAATCAATTTTATCAAATTGAAGCATAAATTCCCATTGCCATTAGCGGTGTTAGTGCACAATTTGGTTGTTGTGATTTATCTTTCAGAGTGAATTTATGGTTGATTTTTGTGGTTAATTTTTTAGAATTTTTTATGGTTCAAATTTGGTGATGAAACAATGGGTGGTAGGGGCCAGAAAAGAAGAAGAAGATTAGGGGTAGGGATAGAGCTTAGGGATGATGGAGGCTGTGGTGTTGATGGTGAGTTTTGGATGATGGAGGTTGTGGTGTTGATGGTGTGGGTTTTGTGTGGTGGAGCTGGTGAGTTTTGGATGGTGGAACTAATGGTGTTGATGGTGGCTTTCGGATGGTGGTAGCGGTTTGGAAGCCCATGGTGGGTGGGTGATGGTGCCAAATTATTGACTTAAGGTGTCTTAATTTAGAAACAAAATTACTTTAGTTGGTGGTGTCTTAATTGAGAAAAAATTAGATAATTAATTGCTTAATTAGTGATGTCATAATTTGGAAATAATAGATTATATTTGATTTCAATATGTAAGATTAGGTAAGTTTAGTTAATACAAATTTATTATATTGAGTAATTTAATTGTTTTTTAAATCATAATTATTATGAGAATTGGTGGGTTTGGATTACGAGTTTAAACTTTATTGGATAGGTAGGTATTAGTACAATTAGAAAATTAAAATTTAAGTGTTGAAATAAATGAGGGATAAAATTCTAGTTTAAGAAAAATATATATTTAAATTCTCAAACTTTATTTTAGAGGGTATTTTTGGTATTTTAAAAATTATTATTGGTAACCTCTTTTTTGATTGTTTACTATTCTAACATCCGCTACTTGGAGCCCCCGTAGGGGATGTGACAGTTACAAGTTATAAATGTTAAGGGAGATCAGTGTTGTTTTTTAAAATGTGAGGGGCAAGGATAAATATTTTTTTTCGGTGTATTATTTTGGTCACCTAGGAAACGGAAATAATTCGACGTGTTTCGAAAACGTTTCGACTCGTTTCGAAAAGAAATAAAAAATTTAAGAATTTATTTTTTAAAATATTGATAAAAATATATTAAAATATCTTGAAACATTCTTAAAGAATTGTGCAAATGCATTGAAATATAACAAAACATTTCGAAACATTATGAAATACCTCGAAATATTAGAATTTTGATTTCATCACTGATTCGTTTTAGTCTCTTTGAAAACGGAAATGTTTCGGAACAATATTTTGAATACTGAGGGGTGTCTGTGTAATAAAATTAAATATCAGGGGGTGTGAGTAATATTTACCCAAAAAAAAATCTGTCCGGTTCACGCTAATCCAATATCCAAAGTAGCCGTAGAATTTAAGCAAGCACCATCGCTGTCGAGTGTCCGAAACAGAGAGAGAAGAGAGAACTAGCACGCAGAGAGAGAGAGGAGAGATGATGGGGGTGCTGTCTAACAAGATCGACAGAGAAAAACTGAAGCCAGGGGATCACATCTACTCAAGGAGGCTCGCTTATATCTACTCCCATCACGGTCCTCTTCTTTTCCATTTCCTTCGTTAATTTCCTTTTTCCCTTACTTCCTGTTTTCATAATGTTCCAAATATGTTCTCATTTCTACGTTTTTTTAGCAAATCCTCAATGCATTATGATTCAAAGTCCAGCTGCAATTAGGAGGTTATTTACTAAAATTAGCAGTAAAAATGGATCTCGAATTTAATTGCTTTCTAATTCCTCCTACTCATCGATTTTTTTTTTTTGCAAAATAACCAGCAAATGCATCATATTAGTTCCCTAAAAAAAATGGGTTTCAGTTTTTTCATTTAATTGAGGGGATACGGATCCCTTCTTGCTCATGATTTAATTTGATTTGTGAATTACTGTAATTTACTCCATGGACACTAAGTGAAAGTTTTGTTTTTTCACTTCATTATGCATAAGAGGTGTTGAATTGTAAGGTTTTTACCTCAATTTGTGATTAAAAATTTAGAATCTATTTGTTGGTTTTGGCATCTAGCAATATTTACCACTCTGAAAACCAACATTTGGGAGGATTTGAACTACATTACTCTGTCTTATTTCATTTTTTAGTTTTTTTACATATATTTGCAATGTATTAGGAGTGATCTGAATGTCAACTGCAGTAAGGTGATTATATTACCCATATTAGGTATCCCTGGAAACTTACATTGGGGGATATGAACTATGTTACCATGTCTTCTTTCAGTTGTTTGTTATTTACAATTATATGTTCAGTTCTATTTGGAGTTTCCTTGGATGTCCATTGCAGTTAGTTTGTAGAAGGGAATGTATGGGTCTATTATTTTTGTGTAAGTGGACAATCTGAAAAGGTTTCAATAACTATTTGCTGGATGAACACCATCATTATCAATTATGCACAGTTTTGTGCCTGTATCTTTCTAAGTCACGCTTTTGTGGTGTTGTTTTTTCATATGTCATCTCATATATGAGGCCGTATCCTCCATTTAGTTATGCTTTATTGTGTCTTTACTTTTTGTTTTCCTCTGTTGCATCTTACCTGTATTCTCTTAATCCTTAGAGATGCATTTGTTGGTCTTCGTTGCTCATGATTTAACTGTCTCAACTTCAAATGATTTAGTGCTCATTTGCGTTATTGCTACTTTCTCATCTATGATTTGTCCTGCTGTCATTATGTCGTTGGTCTGCACTGCCAAGGCATGATTTTAAAGTTACTCATCCACATTAGTTTTGCAAGTTGGCTGCACTTATTTTCTGATGTGTTATTTCAACATTGCATATAAATTTTTTCTCACCTTGTATTTATCATGTAATTATTTTTAACTTCTTTAGGTACAACATCACACAGCACTGTAGTACATTTGTGTTCCTCATGCAGTATGGTCTTCCTGTATGGGAACCATTTTTTACTCTCTCTTTCATTATGGGTTTGTAGTTCCATGGTAATAAGATGGTAAGCATTGAAGATTCATCGTTATTAGCATTAGCAAAGTTTGGTGGTGTTAATATGTCTAACCTGAGAGGTTCAAGGAGTAGGAAGTTCGAGGTAGTGGCTATATGAATAATGTGAAAAATTTGAAGGAAATGATGTTGCTTTCAATTTAATAAGTCAACAATAGGAGAATTAAGCAAATAGGAAGGGGAAGCTTCTCAATCCCTCTACTCCACAATTTGATGGTTATACATGTGCACATGTGTGTATATACGAATAGATATGCACTTTGAACTAAGAAATTCAACCCAATATTATTAGGCTACAAGTTTAGTTGCTCACATCTTCAGCACAACAATGTTTCGGCGCTGAATGTTCATTATTGTCAACAAACAAGTAAGAGATTCGAAATTATAAAGTTCATGGTTTACTTCTTGACCCTCATACAATATGAGCAATCCTCGTACAGATAATCCAACTAGACTAATCTTCCACTGGAAATTCTGAACAATTTTATGGTGCCAGCAATTCTTGGTGAAAACCCTAGAACGACTTAGATAGATTCACCATTTATCATCTCTTTTGTTTAGATTTGCTTATTTGTACCTCTGTTGTGCATGATTGATGATCAGAAAGTTCACAAGCAGCTTTTAAAGAAGCCTATATTCTTTCCCAAAACATTAAAACTTCAATCAAAAACCCTAACCCTAATTTAGCCCACCATTTCAGCCTTACAACCTTTATTCTTCAAAATTTCCCTAAAATTCCCGCCATTTTTCTGTTGAAGTTCATTCTAACAACAACATTAATCCTTAACAATTTAACTAGCCGTACAATCATAAAATATAAAACTAAAATACATAGTCCGCTATTTTTTAATCATGGAATGCATTTACTTCCCACTGTTATCATTCTTTTATTTCCCATAATCTATCTAGACACCCTATTTTGCTATGGTCATGCAGTAACACTTTGATCCCTAACCACTTCACAGCTTATGCCAAACTATCAATGTCATGTTATTGGTACAGATAAAACATCAGGATACTAACTACAACATAGGACCGGTGACCAGAATGCCTCTAAACTTCAGTTTTCACGCCTAAGTCCCACATATCAGTTGTCAATCCATATAGTTTTCCAATAATCATCATACTTAAATAAGAGTGCTTCAAAAATATGCTGCAAACAGAAACTTATCCTTTCAAAACCCAATCGGACAGCTGTTAATACAACTAGCCTGCATAGGTATGCCCCTGAACCCTGAAGCCTATTGAATTTGAACATGCAGATCTAGTTCTAGCATCTGTTCATTGCCTGGCAATACCTATGCTAATATGTTACTAAAAAGGGCCAAATATCTAACCCAGCAACTGTTGATGCTATGAGATATCACACATTGTTAAGCAGTAAATTCACAATTGATGACTACATCAAACAGATAAGTTCTGCAAAACTCTGCGCACAAAATCAAAATTCCAACATACTTAAAAGGAAAGCAACCATGTCAACAGGTCACACATGTAGGGATAATACAAAGATCAGGTCAATGCAGCAGCAAGGTGCAGATTGGAATCCTAAGAAATTATATAACAGCGGTATATATGTCTTGACCAACCTTGAAGGTGATGACATGAAGTCTTGTTTGGTTGAAGACACATTATTATCTGGAAAAGACGAGGAGGCAGTTGATGAGGGAGAAGATGATGCAGAAGGAGGTTGAGGGATACCTACTTTTTCTTTAAAGTCTTAAAGCAATGTGACCTATTTCATTATTGTCCCACTTGATTTTTGAAACATAAGCCTCCGTCATCCGACGAAGGACCTAATGACTCGCCCTGATCAATCGATGGTGGATTCAAACCATTCTAGGCCTCTGCCTAGAAGGATCTCCAAGCTCAATATACACACGATTCCACCACCAAAAATCAAAGAAACAAAGCAAAAAAAAATCAAAGATGCACACAAATAGGTTATGATCGGAGTTGTGAATGGACAAATCTATAAATTGAACTCATCAGTGTTTTGAAAAGTTCACCTAGGCGAGAAGCGAGGCGAAGTGGGATTTTGTCGCCTTGAACACCCCAGGCGAAGCGAATGTGACCGAAGCGAGGAAAAAGCGAGCGCCTTAGTTATGTGAGGTGAGGTTGTGTTTTATTTTTATTGTGAACCGTTAGATTGTTTTATTTTTATTGTGGACCGTTGGAATGGGACAATTGAAAAAAATATTGTAAGATGCCCATACACCCAATTACCCCCTTATCCCATAAATATAAAACCCAAACCCTAATTTTGCTCAGATCAGACGATCGATTACTGCTGCTCCTTCCTCTTTGGTCAGAGACGATTGACTGCTGCAGCTCTTTTGTTGCTGTTCCTTCCTCTGGTCAGAGACGATCGACTTCTGCTGCTCCTTCCTCGTTGGTTACAAGTTTATCCCCTCTTTTTCTTCTCTCTTTTTTGTTTCTCTCTTTTGTTTCTCTTCTTTTTTTTTTCCTGCTTCTGCTGATGTCTGATAGTGTTGTAATTTTTTTTTTGCTTCTGATTCTGGTTCTTCTTCTCTCTTTTGTTTTCTGTTTTTGGTGGTGTTTTTTTTTTTTTCTGCTTCTGCTGGTGTTTGATAGTGCTGTAATTTTTTTTCAGCTTTCGATTCTGGTTCTTCTTCTCTCTTATGTTTTATGCTTCTATTGCTGCTATTTTTTTTCCTGCTTCTGCTGATGTTTGACAATGCTGTAATTTTTTTTTTTGCTTCTGATTCTGGTTCTTCTTCTCTTTTCTGTTTTCTATTTCTGTTGCTTTTTTTTTCTTGCTTCTACAAATGTCTGATAGTGCTGTAATTTTTTTTTTTTTGCTTCTGATTTTGATTCTTCTTCTCTCCTTTGTTTTCTGTTTCTGCTGTTGCTATTTTTTTTTCTTACTTCTGCTGATGTTTGATAGTGCTATAATTGTTTTTTCTACTTATTTTTTTTCCTAAGTCTATTTTTTTTTCTTTTTCTGCTTCTGCTTCTTTAATGATGAATGCTGATGATTTTGATTCTTTAATGATGCTTCTTCTTTAATGTTTGTATAGCTGATGATTCTGTTTTTTTGTAATGCTATTTTGCTGATAGTAGTGCTGATTTTCTGTAATAATGATTAATTTCTAAGTCCTTGAGATGGTTTCTTTAGTTGCTTGAATTGTGTGTCTTATCTTTTTAAATATTAGGATTTTGGATATTATTAGTGTTTGTTTGAATTTAAATGTTTAAGTTATGATTGTTATTAAGATTTGAGATATTATTAGTGTTTGTTTTAATTTAAATGTTTATGATTTTACTTGCATTTAAATATTTAATATATATAAAATTAGAACTTAGATGTTTAGAAGTAATTAAATTAAAATATTTATTTATTTTTTTAACTGTTCGCTTCGCTTTGATAAAGTGCTTCGCTTCACTTTGCTTTGATAAAGCGTTTCGCTTTATTTTGTTTTGATAAAGCGTTTCGCCTAGACTTTAAGAGCCTTGGTCGCTTCGATTCGCTTTACGCGTTAAATAACACAAGAACTGATATATCGCAATTAGTTAGACAATGAGAACAACAATATTTGATTTTTTATTTCTTTTTATTTTTTCGTTGATCTTGAAATCCCTTTTCGTCTATTTTCTTGTTTTGCACTCATCAATTTTAATAGATAATGAGAATCCTTAGTTTTATGTATCTTTTTGATGTCAATTTTTTATTATACCTGTGCTAAGGACCATTCCATATGTTCCGTTAATGAGGTAGAAAATGGTGTCACTTTTATCATGACTGTATGGTCAATGAAGTGAGGAGGTGCTTTTACGTAGTTGTAGTCTCAAACGCACCTACTAAGGTCAAAAAGAGATTTTTCCAGGATGATACAAGCCATTATGTTAGAAAGTGAGAAATGAGTCAATCAATATGGCTTAGATACGAACGGTGATAAACAAAGATGAATTTGTGAATGAGAAATACAAGTTTCTTGTATTCATAGGGATCAATGTTAGAATGACAAATTGTTCAAGTGGGCTGTTGAGCGTAATCGTAAGAAATACTTTTCATTTCATTCCGGTAATTGCTTTAAAAATGAAGAAAGACTTGTCAAAAATCGCCGGTTGGGTGGGTTCGACCATGTATCAAATTATCTAATTGTTCACAAATTTGGAAATAACTATATACTGTTCATAGGAAATTTAGTACTTATATGGCAAATAAATTGTATGTCTAATCAATTAGTGTAAATTTTTAGCCAAAAGGATCATAGTGGTCACTAATAATCAATCTTTTATAGGCAATGAGTGGCAATCATACATAGGTATAATGGTTGCTCTCATCTTCTCAATTGCTAAAAAATCTCAATGCTTCTTCTGCACCAAAACTTTTATTATAGCTTTAACATCTAGTTTTTGTAGTTGTATATTCTTTTATTGTATAAGGTATGCATTTGTGCAATTTTAAACTTTTCTAATTACATGTCAGCACATGTCTATATTTTAAAAGGAAATACAACTTAAAGAAGTGTCTGACACATCAACAAAAGAGTATTGGGCATGTGTCAAAAATTATAAACTTTTATTTTTTAATTGTGGACACAAATAAAAGAATATTGGACACTTGTTCGAGAGTGTCTGAGAAGTGTTAGTGTTTAACACGTGTTTGATACGGATATAGTCACCTTTTGGAGAGTGTTCGTGCTTCTTAGTTGATCAGAGATTGAGAGAGTAATGACTTTATGATGTTAAAGAAAATTGACTGATTATATTGGTAAGGGTCAAATCGTTAATATTGAAAAATCTAGAAACCATGTAATTTCCTAGAAAGAAGTCATGGGTGTTAACGTAGATTTAAATAATTTAGTATTATAGGTAGTTTAGTTGTTTACTTTATTTTTGTTGCCCTACTATAAATAATTGTGTATTATGATGATTTTAGGTTGTAGCCTAAACTATTTTATTGAAATATATATTTTTTCTCTTTTCTTTCCTTGATCAAAATTAAACATGGTATCAGATTTGGTTTAGACTCATAATGGATTCAAATGTGGTTAACATCATAGCAGGTTCATTAGAGTCAAAACTAATGACTGATTCACACATATAATGATGTAACATAAACACCTAAATCGACTTCTCTTGAGCTCTCATATGGTATGATTTGTTCTTGATTTAATGTTCGTTTGATGGGTTTTTTGATTTTTTGAGGTTTTTTTTAAGAAAGGAGAGAGTTGAAACTAATGACTGATTCGCACAGATAATGACGTAATATAAACACCTAAATCGACTTCTCTTGAGCTCTCATATGGTATGATTTGTTCTTGATTTAAGGTTTGTTTGATGAGTTTTTTGATTTTTTGAGGTTTTTTTTAAGAAAGGAGAGAGTTGAAAATCAGATTTGAAAATTCTTTGGCATTTGCTCGAATTTTTTGCCTCAAATCGTGTCCTTGGGGTGTAATTCAATCCTCTTGAGGCTCAATTGTGTGCCTCGAATCTGGTTGAACTGTTTTTTGGTTGATTTTTGCTTTGGCTGTTGGTGTATTACTTTGGTTCTTGCTCTGTTTGTCTTGGTTCTTGCTGTTGATTTGCTGGTTGCAAATTTCATCAGGTTGTCTTATGCTATTTGGCTGCCGATTTGTTGGGTTGCTTCTTTCTTGCCTTTGGTTTACTTATTGTTGCCTTATCAAATTTACTTCTTGGTGCTTTTGGTTTTTTGATAGATACACTCTTGGAATATTGGTAGGCTGAGTTTTGCATCTAATTTGGATTGGGCTTTGTATGTATATGTCTCTCTATCGTCTGGTATCTTTCTCTATCGTTTGCATCTATAAGGCATTAGAATGCATTAGAAGTATCCATCTCAATCCTTCTTTCTAGATGTTACTTATGAGTGGGAGTAGTGCTACTTGCTATTGTAAAACATTGTAATTAAGGAAAGAATAGAATGTATTAGATGTGGTCGTTAAAGCGAACAGATATATATATATATATATATATAGTAGATTAGAGACTATAAGAGTGAATGCAACTGAACCACTAGGTTTGAGAAAAAGATAACTCGAATCCATTTATGATCCTACGTTTCTAGACACATTGCACTTCCGCTCAGGTCGAGGGTGCCACTCGGCCCTAAGACGGATCAAAGAAGAGTGGAAAACCTCTCCCTCAATTTTTGTGGGCTTTGGGTTAATTGTCTATTCTTTGTTTGCGGCCTTGTCTGCTTTGCTTGTGGGTTGATTTTATTTTCTCTGTTGAAATTATGGCAAGGGACTCTCCTCATGCTATTAGTGTGAAATTAATTGGTGAAAATTTTACTAACCGGACATATGTTATGAAAAATTTTCTGTTGGATAAAGATATGTGGAGTTATATTGATGTGTTGTGATAGCCCAATGTCTTAACAAATACTAAGATAGAAAAATATGCAGATTTGAAGAACACTCGAAACATCAACAATGCTAAGATTATTACTTGGATCAACAACTTAGTAGATCATACGATTGGTATTCACCTATCTAAGTTTACCACAACCAAGGACACTTGAGATAATTTAACTACATTATTCTTTCAATACAATTTTGCAAAGAGGTATCAACTTTAGCATGAAATTTGAGCTGCATGTCACGGTGATAGGAATATATAGGATTTTTACTCACATATGATTGGATTTTGGGATTAGTTAGCATTTATTGAACCCGTTGAACTAAGTACTAATAAGGCATATTGCACCCAGAGAGAGGAGCAGAGGTTAGTATAATTTGTGATTGTACTTAGAGATTCGAATAGGTGCATCTAAAGACCCTATCCAAAAAAAGTCTTCTAGCATTACCCAACCAAACTGTATTGGTTGTTCCTTCAAAGGTGACTTCTACTTCACATAATGAGTATCGGGGTCGAGTTGCTTTAGATTAATATAGTTTTTGTCGTGAAAAAGGGCCATTGGAAGGCCTATTATTCTAAGTTGGTGAAAAAGAATGCACAAGGATCACTAAATCAGTCCTTTAAGTCGAAAGACCGTCGTACAATAGTAGTTGCACCATTTGTGGATGAGTCCCTTTCTTCAGCCCCTAGTCTGACTATGATTATTGACGATTTACAAAAACTCTTCTCTCTTCATCAATTTGTGCCCTTTTAGTCTCTCTCTTAGTAGGTTTGTTTACTTCAGGTTTCTTAGATATTCCTCAAACCGCTTGAGTCTTTGATTTAGGGGCCACACGTCACATGACTAGTGATTCTTCTTTCTTCTTTCTTTGCATCTATTATTTATTCTCTTACTGTATTTGTGCTCGTAGCCAAAGACACACATGTCTTTCACAGGTGTTGGGGCTGTTATTTCTACACACCTCACGCGTGTAGATGTTTACTATTTTCCCCAACTTATTTTGAATTTAATTTTTGTTTGTTAGTTTTTGATTCTGGATTCGCAATTCACTTCTCTACCTCTAGTTGTGTTGTATAGAATTCACGGTTCAAGAAGTTGATTGGGACAGGTTATAGAAAGGAAGGGTTGTATGTGTTGTATGAACTCCACGTTCTACATGTTGTTGTCTCTATCGTTGATTTGTCTTCTTTTCATTTAAGTCAATAGTTAGCTACATTTTATTCATGGCATTCTCGTCTCAGCGATGTTTCTCATTCTTGTTTGAGATTTTTAGCTTCTATCGATAGTTTGAGTAGATTATAGTGTCATGACATTTTTAATTGTAGTGGATCCAAGTTGTCTAAATTTACTGCCTTGCCTTTTAATAAAAGTACTACTAACTCTTTTGCCCCATTTAATTCTATTAATTATGATATTTGGAGACATATTCCTATTTCTACACAAGGAAAGTCCAGGTATTATGTTTGTTTCATTGATGATTATAGCAGTTACTGTTGGATATATTTAATGAAATGTCGGCCTGAATTCTTTTATATAGTCACTGCTTTCGTGCGATGGTGCACACTTAATATTTGTCTGTTATGAATTTTTTTTCGATTTGATGGGGGAGAAGAATATTCTTTTACTTCCTTTTGTGATTTGTTGTAGTCTGATAGTATTGTTTATCAAACCTCTTGTACTGACATACTTAAGTAGAATGGTATTGCGAAGCACAAACATTGTCACATTAAGGAGACAATTCGTTTTCTTTTGTTATCGGCCAATATTCCCGGTTCTTTTTGGGGAGAAGCTGTTTTTATAGCCATTCCCTAATTATTTCTCCTTACATCTGTTTGGTTGTTTTGTATTGCTTCCTAGTGGCTTGCGTACTAAACTTTTTACCCTCTTAGCTTTTATGTGTTTTCTTTGATTATGGTGAGGGTTAGAAAAGATATCGTTGTATGACCCCGTTACATGCGAACTTCATGTTTCTCATCATGTTGTCTTTGTGGAACACATTCATATCTTCTCTATTCCATCTAATTTTTCATCCCTACATGAATCTGATCTCGTTTATATCGATCCTTTTCCTAATGATGTCCGACCTGATACATATGTTGGTGATACAACTGTATCTAACTTGCCTTTCTCGCTGTCCTCTTCTGATATAGTTGTTTCTTGTCTACCTATTGTACATACTTTTGTTCTTCGGACTCTAGCTATATCGTCTACAAACGTGGTGCCCCTGCCCTCTTCTCTTGTCACTCAATCAAGTTCTGACATAGTGGATCATACTTCTTGCTATTCTCAACACTCTCTAAAGTGACCAAACAAGTTTGATTTTTTCAACTTTTGTTGCTCCCCAGCCTGTTGTTCCTTTCTGCCTTTTATTCATTCTTTATCTAAGCTCACCTCCTATAAGGAGGTTATACGTGATCCTCCTTAGAACATGCTATAGATGAGGAGCTATCTGCCTTACAAAAGACTTGTGCTTGGGAGTTAGTGTCAATGCACCATTGGTTACAAGTGGGTTTATAAAATCAAAACTAAGTTGGATGGTTCGATCGAAAGGTATAAGACTTGATTAGTGGTTAAGGAATTCACTCAAGCGTATGGCCTAGATTATGATGAAATTTTTACTCCTCTTGCCAAGATGACCACTGTTCGCACTGTAGTTGTTGTGACTGATATACATCAATGGAGATTGTCTCAAATGGATGTGAAAAAGACCTTTTTTCATGGAGTTTTATCTAAAGACGTTTTTGTGATTCCTCCTCTTGGATTGTCTCGTAGTCTCGGACAAGTATGCAAACTTTGTAAGGCTTTATATGGTATTTAATAGGTTCCCTGAGAATGGTTTGCCAGGTTTTCTTCAGTTATATATGACTTGGGTTTTCGTACTAGTGATCATGATTTTGCTCTCTTTTTATGATTCCTCCTCTTGGATTGTCTCGTAGTCTCGGACAAGTATGCAAACTTTGTAAGGCTTTATATGGTATTTAATAGGTTCCCTGAGAATGGTTTGCCAGGTTTTCTTCAGTTATATATGACTTGGGTTTTCGTACTAGTGATCATGATTTTGCTCTCTTTTTACGATTCTCTTCATTAGGTTTTATTGGTTCTCTTACTCTATGTTGTTGATATGATTATTATGGGTGATGACACTGTTGGTGTACTGCTGTTAAAAAAATAGTTACAAGATCATTTTGAAATGAAAGATTTGGGTAGACTTTGGTATTTTCTTGGAATTGAGATTATTTCTTCTCCTAAAGGTTTTCTCCTTTCTTGGTTCAAGTATGTGTTGGATATTATTTTGCGAGCTCGTTTATTTGATACTCAGACAATTGAGAGGTGTTTAGAATTCAATGTTCGTTACAATTTGTTGCTTTACCTACCACTATTCTTGGGCTGCTGTTCTCCATATTCTCCGGTATCTTTAGGGTACTCTGTTTAAAGTCTTATTTTCTTCCTATTCATTTATGGAACTCAGAGCTTATTCCGATGCTGATTGGGCTAGTGATACTATGGATCGCAAGTTCACCACTTATTTTTGTCTCTTATTTGATGATTTTCTTATTTTCTTAAAAAGCAAGAAATAAATTGTTGTCACTCGTTATTTTGCTGAAGTTGACTATCGCACTATGACATCCATTACAACTGAGATAGTTTAGTTACATTGGTTATTTTCTGATTTTGACATCTATTTATTTGGTCTTACCCCTATTCTACTACGACAACACAAGTGCTATTCAGATTGCCCACAACTTAGTGTTTAATGTGTGTACAAAGTATATTGAGATTAACTGCCACTTAGTGCGCTATCTTCTTTGGCTGGGCATTATCTCTCTTCCTTTTCTTCTTTCTACTATGCAGTTGACAGATTTCTTTACGAATTCTTACGCGATAGCGCATTTTCATTTTTTTCTTGACAAACTCTTTGATGTTCTCTACTACCACATCTTGAATTTGAGAGGGGGGGGGGTTGTTAGCGTATATTTTAATATTTTAGTATTAGGGGCAGTTTAAACGTTTATTTTATTAGTGTTTCCCTACTATATATAAGGCCTGTATTGTGTATTCTGATGATTTAAGGTTGTAATGAAGTCTATTGTGCTGGAATATATTTTTCTTCTCCTCTATCCTTTTTTTGATCAAATTTAACAGTGGGAGTACAATAACATTGTGCTTTTATTAACCTGGTGACTTCTGGTCAAAATAAAGGATGGCCTTTATTAAGTACAATAACGCAGAGCTAGATGTTACTTTGATTAGTTTGGCAAAGTCCACTTTAATCTTCACATTGTGTGAAAAACTTGAAAGTGATATTTTAGATGGGATGGTAGTTGGCAGTGATAAGTTCCTATTCCACTCTCTTTTAAATGGTCGTTCCATACTCAAATTTCTCTTATTTCTTTATTGAAAAAATGATGCCTTGAAGAATGCAATTGTTACATATAAATGTTGATTCAACCTATTTCCTGTCTCTCTTTTGCACTTATTAACCTCCCTTCTTGACTTTGTTGAGAATTGTATAACATCCAGCTTTATATGAAATCATACTGCATTGTCAGCACAACTTTGCTAACATGTCCTCCATATAACACCAGGGATATATGTTGGTGATGGAAAGGTTATCCATTTCACTCGTGGCGGAGGCCACGAAATTGGCACAGGAACAGTTTTAGATCGCATCATTTTCAGCTCGTCTCCCTCTAATCCTTCGGACAACCCATGCGCCAGATGTGGTGATCAATCAAGGGCTGATGGTGTCATCTCTTCATGCCTTGAGTGTTTTCTTTCTGGTGGTGAACTATATCTGTTTGAGTATGCTGTATCACCAGCATTCTTTCTTGCTAAAGCTCGAGGAGGAACCTGCACGCTTGCGCGTTCTGATCCACCTGAGGATGTCCTCCATCGTGCTGAGTTCCTCCTCCTGAATGGATTTGGAGGCTACCATATCTTCAAGAACAACTGCGAGGATTTTGCAATCTACTGTAAGACAGGTTTACTTGTCTTTACTAGTGTCAGTGTGGGGCGTAGTGGACAGGCGGCATCATATTTAGCTGCTGCCAGTGCTGTTGTTTCTTCACCACTTCGCTTCTTGACTACCAGCTTTAGTGGTCTGGCTGTTGTGAATTGTGCTATCTATTGTGTTAGCCGGTTTGTTTCTGACATTGGGGTACGTCGTGATGTGATCAGAATCCCGGTTGAGAGACTTGTTGCCCGTTCTGGCTTATTAGATGAGTCAGAAGCTGCAACTGAGACGGCCAAGGAAGACTAAATTTATGGCGGGGGGCCAAAATTACATGGGTTCCCCAGTATGCTGGAATGGTATGTTGTGATGAATCTGAGAATCTGCTCATTGAATTTGTGCTTGCCTGCCTATGAAAATTTATGCAATCTGAAAAATTAAACTCCATGAAAATTTATTTGCTTGCATGGAGGGTTGATTATTAATTTTTATGGGATTAATTTGTTCATTTATTTTGATACTATTGATTTGTGATACTATGTCAGTATTACTATATGATATCACTATTGTAATGAATATTTTTTTGACATCAATGTCGAGATCGAGAGAGAGAGAGAGAATGATGCAGTGGGGGGGGGGGGTGAATGGGCAGGTCAGGGTTTTTTTTTTTTTTTAAGATAAAATTTAAAGAGTGGATCCAATTGCCAGCTGCTCAAAACTCCAAAGAGTATTTTGCTTCATTTTCAAGCACAAAAAAAATTAAAACTTGCAGTCTGTTTTATACACTGTTTTTTCGCAACCTTATTTGGAATCTTACGGGGTGTTTGGTTCCGTGGATAGCGAGAAATTAAGTGGGTGGTTGGTAAAAATAATCTAGAGGGGATAGGAGCTTCCAAAGCCAAATAGAGGCTCTAGGCAAAATTGTTGGATAGGGTCTTATTATTTTTTATTATTATGACAAAATATAATATTCATATACAAACACGGTATTTGATTCAATAATATTTAAATTTCAACTATTAAATTGGTTACCAAGCTAACATGATATTGGAATAATTTATATCATCTCTAATCCAATTGTCCAATCGATACAAATTGGATTGAATAAGATATTTCAATCCAACCCAACCTAATTCAACCACCCAAACAGGGTCCTACATGCTTAGAGACAATAGAAAGTGGGCTGCCATGTAAATGGAAGAAACATGGTGGTCTTCTGATAGAGGGAAGAATAATTACTTTTTTACAAAAGTCTTGGTCTTTGGAAAGGATATGGCTATTTTGACAGGTAGGTCCCTCCATTTGCGTGTGGAGTTGTATTTGGGTTTTTTGTGGAATTCTTTACAAAGTGAGCTTTCTCATTTCCTTTCCGGAGGGCACTGTAGAAGCCACCAACCATGCTAAGATTCTGGTATTACATGACACGGAGTTGGGTTAGTCGTGTCGTGTTAATTTTATGTAAATCGTGTCATTTTTCGACTCATGTCTATGAAAAAAATTGGCACCCCTAGAATTTAAGGTGCTAATTATAAATTGCTAGCTAGTTTTGCTGAGGAAGAGTAAGTTATTTAGAAAAATTTTGTGCGCTGTCAAATTAGTTTTTTAGGGTTTCCAATAAATATATCATATGTTATTATCTCGAGTTATTCTCGGTGATCCAACTATGAGATCGCTTGCATCAATCTTGGATTAAACAAGATTGACCATGAAATCGAAGAAAGGAATGGAGACATATCGAGAGACTCTCGATTTGCTGTTTTACTTTTTATACTCACGTAGCTTTTTATAGTCCTGTAGAAATTGCGGGAATCGGTCTGATTTTTTTTTCAAACTAATGTATACATATCTAGATATATGTGTTATTGTTTGTGATATTCCAAATATAATAAAATCACTTATTGAAAATTTTCATTTAAAACATATAATGTATAACAAAACAATAACGGTGAAGAAAGTAACAGTTACACAGTATACAGAAACAGTTACAAAAAAATTAGCGAAACAATTACAATAATCTTACAGGAACAGTTACACGCAACTTTTTGTTGAAACAATATAAATATTAACTCGATTACAGAACATGATCTGTTATTGAACTTTAGGTAAATCAATGCTAGTGTTTGACACTATGTCTTTAAGACAGATCTCGCTCCCACACACGGTGCTTATGGAATCTCAGGCGTCTGTCTTCCAAGATACAATAATATTCACATGAGAAAAAGTAGCACTCCAATCTATTCGTCCAACGAACCAGAAATTGTGTTGTGTACTCTCAAAATGCAGACTTCCTTAATGATGTATAAGACTGCCTTAAATGACTATGAATGTATTGGATGAATGAGGTGAAAGTCTGGGTATTTATAGACATTCTGGTGACTTTTTGGACAATCACCGTACTAAAAGACACAACCTAGAAGAAAAATGAAAGCCAATAGACAACACTTGTGTTACTGTACTATATCAATTTCAGACTGGAGGGAAACAACAAATCTGAACGAGTGCAAATTCAAATCCAATGGATACCCAAAATTAAATTATGGGTTAAGAAATTCATGGCCAATCAATTAAATGAATATTCTCCAAAAAGATAGGGTTTAGTCTACCCGTACCCGAGCCTAGCTGGGTCAGGTCGTGGCGTGGAAATAGAACTAAAGGCATGTAGGTATTCGCTCCACTCATAAAATTGTGGTACCTTTTAGGGCCCAATCTCATAGAGTAAACTTCGTCTATATATGTTCATGCAAATTTTTTCCTCAAACAATATGAGATTGGTGTCAAATCCCACATTGTACAACCTTTATTTCCACATATCAAGAGGAACAATTTGAAGCCTATTTTTTCATTCATTTTTTTCTCGAATTCTTACTACATTATTCTCTTCACGGAGTAGAATATAAAATCAAGAAATTTTACTCAAAACAACGAATGGATCCACTTTAATTTAGGCTCAAAATCGACAAATAATTTAATTTTTATACTTTAAAAACTATTTTGGTCCAACATGTGTATCTCTACATGCGACTGGGTCTGAGAGGAAAGAAACAAACACCGGCAAAGAACAATAAAAATTCAAATTAAAAAGATTCTTATAAAAAGATTAAACAAAGTATGATCACCCAGTGCCCTATCGAATTTCCATGGGCTGTAGGCCCTTTGGTTTCTTCCAGGGAGATTGAGATCCCTCTCTCTATCACATGGTTGTCAAAACAAAGGAGGAAGACCAAGACAGTCTGTATAGACTAAGGTCTGGTCATCTTTGGGTACTATAAAAGATTGGTAGATATAAACTAAAAAAAAATGTTATACTGAAACTTAAATATTATAACTCAAATGTATTATTCCTGAGTGAGTCTCACTGAAATAATTGATGAGATCCAAATGTATTCATTACAACGGTGATACCACGTGGCAATACTGACGTGGTATCACCAACCAATAATATCAAAACAAATTCACTGATTTATTGAGAGCACCAGACTCAGAATATACACAACTATATTTTACAATATGTTGTTTATGGGGAACAAAAGTGTTGTATACTATTGGCGGTTGAAAAAAAAAAAAAAAAAAATAGGGAACAACTTGTGTACATATGCTTCTCAACTTAGTTAATGCTTATACATATATCACAAACATACTGGCCCTTATCAACATCATAGCCAGACATAGTGGCCATTATAACATCATAACCAGATGACTATATAGTGGGTTTTTTTTTTTTTTTTTTCCGCCGGGGGCCCCGGGGGGGGGGGGGGGGGGGGGGGTGGGGTGGATAAGCATCTAAATTGGTGAATCACAATGGTCTTTAATAAGGTGGCTCTTAAATAGTAAGAATATAGAGAGTTGGAGTTCTAAAGTCTAATCAGTAAGTTGAATGCAAATGGAATACATAAGGCCTAATGCTTAAAATGTGTGAGTACCTTTTAAAAGCATTAGTTTTAGAATTTGTGGAACTGAAAAACTTAAATAACCTGCAGTAATCATCGGAAGAAGGATAAGCTTGATTTTATACGGTAAATTAGGGTTAAAATTTAAAAATAAAAGTTTTTCACTAAATTAATATTCAATTTTATCAAATTAGCACTAAATTAGCCTTAAATTTTATCAAATTAATATCCACTTTCAACAAATTCATCCAATTAATATTTAATTTAATTAAACTAATACCAAAATAAGATTAACAGCAAATTAAAATTCAATTTTATCAAAATCACGTTAAACTTCATCAAATTACTACCAAATTAATACTCAATTTAATCAAATTAACTATCAAATTTATTTATTTAACACTCAATTTTATTAAATAAATATTAAATTCCATAAAATTAATACCAAAGTAATGTGAAATTGATTTTAAATTTTATAAAATTATCATTTTATTTCAGCAAATTAACATTCAATCCCATCAAAATCGATATTCAATTTTATCAAATAAATATCAAATTATATTGAATTTCATCAAATTAAAACTAAATTAACATTTATTTGCATCAATTTAATATTCAATTTACCAAATTAACATCATTCCTTTAATTGAATCCCAAATTAACATTCAATTTCATTAAATTAATACTAAATTTTCATTTATTTTTATTAAATTAATATTATTTTTTAAATTTAATTAACTTTTAATTGTATCAAATTAACATTCAATTTTATCAAATTGATATTATTTTTTAAATTAACAATAAATTAGTATTCAATTTCATCTAATTAATATTATGTTTAATCTAATTAATATTTAATTTAATCAAATTAATACTGAAGGAACATTGGTATGTATGTATATGTATATGTATGTATGTATAGAGCTTAATATGTAAAATATTGTAGACATTAGCAGTAAACTAGTAAAATAAAATTTTCCGAATCTATCCCAAAAACAATAGGCATAAAAATCTATCATTAGATTTCATATAAATAATGGTAGTTGGATCTAAGCCACTGATTTCATCTATTACTATCATTAGATTCATAATAAAGTCATTTACTATTAAAACCGCCTAGTAATTTACATCGATAATAAATTAGATTAATAAACTAAATTTAAATAAATTAGTGAATTACCACATTGAGTTGTAAAGTATAAATTGAGTTTTTATATTTAAATTTTGTTATCATATTTTTTTTCATTGATAATATCGCTAATCCAATTATTTTTTCTTATGAGAGTCAATTTTAAGTAAAATTTTATCAATTTTAATTTTGAAAAACTTCTTTTTTGTAGAAGTAACTATTACAAAAATTAATAATAATATTCTATAAGCAATGCATACATTTGAAGAAAAAAATCTAGTTTTCTTATATAATTTAGTGCCTCAATTGGAGTATTTTCTTTTATTTATAAAATCTTCTTTAAAATTTTTTATTTCGAAAATAAATCTAAACTATCAATGTCAGAAAAATTGTTATATTTTAAGAAATATCCGAGATCAAGATAACTTTTTTTTAAACTATCAACATTTAATGATTTTATTTTTTAAGATAAATAAAAAACAAAAATTCTTTATTTAAAATTGATATGAAGAGCGAGTGAGTGAGAATAAAAATGAGAGGAAGGGTTTTCTAGTGTTGGGGGAGAGAGAGAGAGAAAGAGAGGATGTGGTGGAGAATGAATGAATAAATTATCACTTGACTTTTGAGTATTTTGATTTTTTTAAATAAAATTTTGTTTTTTAGGTTTTTATTATTATGGGTTGAGTTCCAAAAATTATTAAAATTAAAAATTTTGATTTGCTTTAAATTTTAACTAAGGCTTTTGTAGGGCTTATAATTTAATGGAGTTAAAATTTTAAAGTGGACCAATTATTTGTCTAAAATTATAAGATGTTCTAACATTATGGAGCTAAAACCCAAACTTACTAACTTTTACAGGTAGGCTGGCCCTGTTGGAGCTCATTCACAACATCTCAGAATGATAAAACACACTTACAGCATCTTACAGCCCAGTCCTTTAAAGTAAAATATTATAAGAGTAATGTTAGATAGATTTAAAAATTAAATTTAATAATCTTAATCATTAAATAAATAATGAATTCTAATAAATAATAAGACCTAAAGTGAAATCAATGGTTGAGATTATAAAATCTAAAATTTTAAGTTCAAGTAGCATTGCTCATATTGTAATTTAATTTTTTTTATTTTAATAGACAAATTTAAAATAACTAGTTTTTTTTGGAGATGCTCTTACGGCTTTCTTTACCATCTCTAGTAATTATGTATGACACCATTAAATTAAGACAAAACCCCTCACGAAGTGAGTCAACTCAGTTCACCTCGGGTTTTTTACAGACGACTCGCCATTGGCCAACTCATAGCCTTGGCCATCTCTCTCAGAACAAACTTCTTAATTTTTCCGGTGGATGTCTTAGGAAGCTCCTCCTTGAACACTACCGTCTTCGGCACCATATAATGCGGCAATTTATCCCTACAATACTCTATTATCTCTTTCTCCGTTGGTTTTTTCTTCAACTCCGGCCTCAAACTTACAAAAGCACAGGGTGTTTCGCCCCAATACTCATCAGGCCGCGCCACAACCGCCGCCTCATTGATCGCCGGATGCGAGTACAGCGTCGATTCCACCTCCACGCTGCTCAGATTCTCGCCGCCAGAGATGATCACGTCCTTTGATCGGTCTTTGATTTCCAAGTACCCATCTGGGTGCATCACTCCAACGTCGCCGGTGTAGAACCACCCATTCTCTCTCATCGATTTTGAGGTTGCCTCTGGGTCTTTGAGGTAACCCAGCATGATACACCCTCCTCTGAGCACAATCTCACCCAGAGTCAACCCGTCTCGCTTCACGCTCAGCCCTGTCTCAGGATCCACCACATCCACCTCCGTCATTCCGGCTGTTCTCACTCCTTGTCTCGCCTTCAGCCTCGCTCTCTCAGTGGCTGGAAGCCGATTCCACTGTGGCTTCCACACACACGACACCACTAGCCCTCCGGTCTCTGTCATCCCAAGCCCATGAGTCACTGTAAAACCCAGTGACTCAGTCCGGAGCAACACCGCCGCTGGTGGCGGAGCTCCTGCGGTTAGGATATGAACTTGGTTTTTAAGTGGCCGGTTGTCGGGGGAGTTTGATAGCATGTTTAGCACCACCGGGGCACCACACAGATGGGTCACACCGTGTCTGTGTATGGCGGCGTATATGACGGCAGCGTCGAATCTCCGGAGACAAACGTTGGTTCCTCCGATGGCGGCCATTCCCCAGGTGTAGGTCCAGCCATTGGCGTGGAACATCGGAAGAGTCCATAGAAACACCGGCTGTTCCGGTACGGACCATACCAGAAGAGCATCGAGTGCTACGATGAACATACCACGGTGACTGTGCACCACCCCCTTCGGAGACGCGGTGGTGCCGGAGGTATAATTCAGAACAATAGGGTCCCACTCGCTTTTTGGACGGATCCAATTGAATTCTGTGTCACCCTTTTGGACCATTGTCTCGTAAGTGCTGTAGAAACCACTCGCCAGCGATGATGGGGTTTTACTTTCATCATCAGCGATGAGGACGAGAATTGGGCGTGGTGAGTTGTGTGGGAAGAGAGAAATTGCTTCGAGAACCAGAGAGCTTGACTGGTAGTCAACGAACACGAGCTTTGATTCACCGTGACGTAGGAGGACGGCGACGGTGCGAGCATCTAGGCGGGTGTTTATGGTGTTGAGAACAGCACCGGCCATAGGAACCGCGAAATGGAGCTCGTAAATGGCGGGAATGTTGGGTGCCACAACAGAGACCACATGACTTCTCTTGATGCCGTAAGAGACAATGGAGGAAGCGAGTTGGAGGCACCGGCGATGAGTCTCCGACCAGGTGTAGGTAGTGGTGTTGTAGACGACAGAGGGACGATCGCCGTAGACGGTAGCGGCTCTTTCCAGGAAGCCGAGAGGAGTGAGAGGACTCGAATTTGGAGCTCTTGGGTTCAACTGGTCCATACTCTGTTTTTTTTTGGTGAATGGAGTGGGGAGTGGATGTTGTTTATGAATTGCTTTATATTAAAATATACAAGATTACGAAGTTAAAAATTAGATTTAATAATTTTATTCATCGATTTTACTATATATTTTAGTATTTATTAAAATTTATTATCTATTCAATAATTAAGATTATCAAGTTTAATTTTTAAATTAATATAACATTACTCAAATAAATAATACTGTTTTGTCATTAATGTGCTGAGATGGATTTCTTGATATGTATATTTTTTTATTTTTTTGGTCTGGCTTGCTATGTATATCAATAATTGCTATTACACCTAATTTTTATACGAGTAATGGCCTCTTTCTTATAGACTTATTCGTATACAGGAAAATGGGGTGAGAAAAACAGGATGGAAAGAAAATATTTTTACAGTTCGATTTTGTGTGACTCGTTATCTCCTTTTTATTGTGGTTTAAACTAATTTAGAATATGTCTCTAAAGAGTAGAAAGGTATAAAAAAGAATTCAACATAAAATTTTTGGTTTATTGTAGGAAAGACCCAACCACCAGATATGGAATTATAAGGAGACTTAGGGGGCCATTATCCCCACAAATTTTAAAAATTTCTATTATTCATCCTATAATTTTAAAAATTTTTATTGTTAACCTCTAATTTTTTAAAATGTCAAATGTATAAGTGTCACACTTTAGTGTATTCAAAAAGACTGAAGACTTAATCTTTATTAACTATTTATGATGAAATCAAAGTATCGTTTATATTAACAAAAATACTTGTTTGAATATTTTGATGATGTAGAAAAAAAATAAGTAATTTTTTTAATTAAAAAAAATATTAATACAAATATGTTTTCTATCAAAAATAGTTAGTTGACTTATAATTAATTTTTATTATAGTATTATATGAAACTATTATTAATGACCATGATTTATTTATAAACACAAGATTACATTATAAATAAGAAAGCAAAGAGTTGATTATCACAAATAAATTTTTATAATGACATGAACCACTTTTGAGTTTTATACTTTGAAATAATTTTTTCGATATCATTACATAAAAATTAAATTTAATAAATTTTTTATAAATAAAAATTTATTATTGATAATAACCGTTGAATAACCTTATTGAATTAAATTATTGTTTAGGTCATTGTTGAACCGTGTCACGATAAAATCTTGATTCCATCTCTGCCAACCACCAACCACCTAGATATGATTATAACAAATGTAATTGTCTCTATTAAACAAGTGGTTGATTGTCTACATAGCCTGTGCTGGGTAATGTGGAGTGTAGTATAAATTGCACACGTGTGTGGTTCATAATGTATGAGAGGAAGTTTGTCTTTAAGGCTATATCAACTTTGGTCCATAACTCTATTCAAAAAAAAAAAAAACTTTGGTCCATAACGACCATTAATTTTGAGTTGAACAATTTATAAAAGGTTAATTTAAAATTAATAAAATATAAAAAATTAATTGTGACACAAAAAAATATGATTTTATAAGACTAGCGAAGCGATTTGGTTTGACCGAAATGACTACTCATGGGACATTTTCTATATAGTTTATTGGCAACATAAATTTTTTTATGTGCAAGGGTATAATTGTAAATTAAGTTAATATGTGATTTTTTTCCTATCATTTTTTCTCTAATATTAAAAAATAAAAAATTAATATTTTCAACTTTTTATCTATCTTAAAAAAGAGAAAGTGATTTTCTTTCCTCAAATAATAGAAAATTTATTTCTTTTTATTTTTTCATCTCTTTTATTTTTTATCTCTCCTAGCAAACAGACTATAAATATCCAACTATTAAAATCCTAATAATTTTGAATTATTGAAATAATAATTTTAATTGAACTCTTCATGGGGCTGATGTAGCCATTATTTTTGCTAATTATATGATATTTTAATACTCTATTATATTTGGTAGCCACTTCACATTTAATTTTTTTAAAATTAATTAATATTTTTTTAATAATGTTGGGGTGAGGGTGACAATGGGGGGTGACGGTGGGGTACGACGATAGAGAGAGATTGTAAATTTTATACATCTCACAAAATGTCCACTAGTAAAATTAATTCAATCATTTTAAGGAAAAAGGGTTGAGGAATTTTCTATCTTAAAATTTTAAAGTCACACCGTTTTAATTTTATATATTTTTTAAAAACATTTGATTCAATCTATTTAAAATACTTGGAATTCAGTAATTCATTACCTAAAATATATATTTTTTTATGTAATTTTAGACTCTTAATATTTCACGATTCTATGTTATTAGCCTTTCTCCACATTTTTCTAATTTTCTTGAGTTTACATCTATTTATTTATAAAACAAGATTTTATCCAATTTAATTCTTTCAAGTTATATACCTATTCACACTAATGTAATTTTGGCATTGAAATTGTAAAGAATAGATGAACCTATAAATTGATTGTTTTCCATCACATCAAAATAGGATTGAAATGAAAATTCGAAGCATTATACAAGCCGTAGTTAGTATTTTATTAGAGTAAAGTGAAAATGATTACTCCTAATTAAAGCAAAGAAAAAACAATAATCAAAATAAATTGAAAAACAAACAAAAAAAAATCTAATAGAGATTAAAAAACTTTATGCAACTCTTAAAAAAAGAGACAAAACCACCCCGAAAGGTTCTCCCAAAATAGCTTAACCTTCGAGAGACTAGAGGCAAATTATAAGATATTAATTGCGCAATTGATGTGGAATTGTTTTGGAAATTTTTTGATACTGTTTTCAATTTTATTTAGTCAAAGTTTAAGATTGAAAAAGTTGTCAAATCGAAGAGAGCCTATGTATATTCGTGAAGATTACTTCGACATTTCCACGAATAAATCATATTGGACAAACTAGGCGATGATAAATCAACACTCTTGACTTGATCAAATGAGAGGGACCATTAGAAGAAGAAAAAAATGTCACATACTTCCAATAACACAATGTCACCACCCTAAAGCATTTCAACAAACCAAATGGGGGGCATAACCATACATCATCAATTTCAAAATGTTATGATTATTAAGAGAAATTATAATTTTTAAAAGTTAATTTACGGTTATAACTGGTTGAAGTAACTTATAGTTGGTCACAATATTTTATGATCGATAATGAATTACCTTAAATAATTGTAACTTCAACTTAAAAATAATAATTTTCGATATAGTACCAATTTTTTTTTTCATCCTCAATTATATGTGATACTTTTCGTAAAAACGTGGGTTGAAGAAACATGTTTGAAATATAAACTTTCAACCAAAAAAAAAAACTTGTCATAATTTGATTTATAAACATGTTTTTTCATTGAAAAACGCGTGTTAAACTCGTGTCTTCATAAAAATTATCGTGATTTAATAAATTAGTTGAAAATAATGGGTTTTTAATTATTATTTTTTTAAAAAATCATCAATAACTCAAAATGAGTCTTTTTCTAAAATAAAATGGGAAAATAAAACCAAAATGGCCTCACTGAATGGTGCAGTAGTACAACACTAATGTTATTAAGATATAATTTAGAAATATGAGACAATACATTATAATCATTGGATTGATCGCGAAATGTATTCAATATTGAGCCTCACTAATAATTTAACGGCCAAAAAATATTATGTCTCAAAATTATACCTTTAAATTATGTCCTAACAACATTGCTCATGGTAGAAAGCATAACTTTAGTTTTTTGGGAATTGATGATGCAAAAAAATAGATTTATGCACAATCAATCAGTCGAGTGTGTTATGATCATTGTGTGAGAGATAGACATCTCTCATGCGTAGAAGTTTTATAATTTATAGGTACAGAGTTCTAGTTGAGGCGGTGATGTGAGTGTCAAGGTACTAGTTTATCGAGGATGATAGTTACAATTGAGGATGAACACTATCTTAAATTAATGGTCATCCTAATGATTGCTCTTCTACATGTGTTGATTTTTTCTGGATTCTTAAGATTTTGATTGGACTAAGATTATGAACAGTCTAACCTATTTTTTGATGGTTTGAACTTAACCCATGAATTGGGCAAAGACCTGGTCTAAATCTGAGCCGTGAAGAACGGTTGTTGTCGTGATTTCCATGGAATTACTTGATGATTCTTTTTTGTGAAGCTGACGGGGTATACACTCCATGAACTACAGGTCGGCAGACCAGTCTAAATAGGAATAGTAATTTTTTGTACTCTAATATGAGTCGAATCTGATACAAAATTAATGAATTAAAGTTGATTAAATGGTTGGTTTAGCTGAGATATAATGAGGTCATAATTTTGAATTTTTAGTTCACAAATTGTACATGTTTGTCCAAACATAACACATATGATTAATATAAGACCATTTGATACGATTAATCAAATTTAAAATTATTTTGTATTCAAAACAAGTTTAAAATAACTTGACCCGAAAAAAACAATAACACAAAGTGCAACCCTTGTTTGTGTTTCTTTTATAATTTCTTCTTGTTTGCTTCTTTTAGTCGAGAAAGCATCATTCTTTAACCTCCAACCTAATTCTTAAAAGTTATTTTTATTTTATTGATTATATCATAAATTTCTTCGCAGCATTTTTTTAATGCACACAATCAAAGAGTTTGTGATAAAATCATCATTCATTTTATTGTAGAGTCTAGTTGAGATTATCTTTCTTCATGGTAAATTAATGATTTGACAGAGAAAAAAATAGTTTTAGGTTAGGATCATTTACTAGTTACATCTAATAATATTTTAATGAGTTATGTCCTTTAACTTATTAAAAAAGAGTCAACGTTAACTATAATTGTGTTGAAAAAAGTACGGACATTATAATAAATAGAGGAGAATTATAATCTTTGATCAATGTACAAATTAGGATATTTTAGTCAATTCAAATGTAAAATATTTATTTTCTTGCGTTAGAGGAAGAATAGACAGTGTATTAGGGAAAAAGAACACTAGAGCACTATAGAAATTTTTAAAAGTTAAGGGGGTGATGTATTAATTTTAACTTGGTATGAGATTTCTAAGACTACGTAGGCAAGGGTCAACCAAAAGTCAGTG